CAGTGCCGGTTTTACCATTACCAGCGCCCTGGGCGAGATTTCTACGGCGCCCTCCAACTACAATTCAAACCCATAGGAAAAAAGGGAAAGCATATAATGAAATAACCATTTATTAAAACAAATAATTATTTATTATAAAAAATAACCATTTATTAGAAACAAACTAATAAAATTTTACTTTTCTGGCCTTTCTATCAGCAAACTCTTTTATAAGGTTATCAAAGTCTATGTTTTCAGCAATTTCGTTTTCAATTGACAAAGTTGCTAAGTTTGTCAATCTAGATTGAGATATTGTTGATCGAAGATAGGTTTTTATCAGCTTCAGCTTTGAAAAACTCCGCTCCCCGCTAGCAACCGTTACAGGTATAGTCAGTAATATTCGCAATGCTATCCATACATTTGGATACAGTTCTTGTAAGTAGCGATCTTTGATGAAATTTAAAACAAAAATAGGTGTAACCACATTTTGATCGGGCAAAAAGGAGATAGACAATGTGTTTTTCTTTGATTGGGGATTCCCTGTAAAATAAACTCCGATCGAACGGATTACGTTCCGTTCAAGTGTTGCCAACATAAAAAAAATCCACTTAATTTAGGGCTTCCGTCCGCTTAATTTTGAGAATGAGGTGGAGGGCGCCTGCGGCGCCCCTTTTGTCCGGCGCCCTGGGCGATCGCCCAACCGCGCCCTACCCTAACACCGCTACTGAGCACATGAAACCATTCCGACCATAACCTAACCCAATTCCTTAAGTGCCAACCCTTGACATTTTTTTATAATTTCATAATTATTAAATCTTTAACTCTTTTCGCCGCTTCGGGGGTTAAATTCTAAAATAATCATGTCTGTCTATGGTATATAAGGAACTCTAGATCAAGGAGTTTGGACTGTGTGTTGAAATATCAGTCAGTCATTGTATCCTTTTTTATATTGTATTAGGTTTTACCCGCGGTTTCAATCGCGTTGATGTCCTATATGTGTCCAAGATCATCGACTATCACATAAAACTAATTTTTCTATCTCTTGGGAATAGTATTTTTTTTTTCTGGATAAAATGTACCCTATACCCTTTTTTAATCTATACATCGAAGACGCCATCAACATCATTAAAGACAGTAAAACTGTAGGAATAGATGTACAAGGGCAAAAGATTAGTATGCTTAGATTTGCAGATGATATAGCAGTATTAGCATCTAGCAAGGAGGACCTAGAGATAGCTTTAAATAAAATGGAAGCGGTACTGACAGATCAGTACTGTATGNGTGTGAAATCGTAACAAACTCACATTCGTATTTATATTATTTAGGATTGAAGCATCTGTATTAAAATATTTAATATGGTAAATAACTTACCCACTGGTCAAAGTGCATTAATAAATGGAAAAGTTTTTGAAGGTTTCATTTCCAATATGAATTATCGATCTTGAACTTAGTTTCAAGGGAAAATTTGCGTCAAAATATTTATACCTATGTTTTACCTATATTTTATTATAAATAGTTACACACATATATAATTAATTGGTAGGCACTCCTGCAAATGATATATTACGTGAATGCCACTAAGGTCAGAGGTTTTTCAGAATTTATTATGTAGGGCAATTTGGCAAGTAAAGAAGTTAAAGTAGGAGAATTCTCGGATGCCACACGGTCGACCCTAGATCGATTCGTAAAATATTACCGAGATAGCTGGAAACTGCATCAATCCCTTTGTTTCCATTTCAAAATGGAAAACCTAACTTTTCCTTTTCAGATCAGGTCTTCGCTCGGCGCCATTTGCACAGAATGCGACAAAAATGGATTTTATGACAAAATTCATATAAGAAACATCTTCTACATAGTATCTCTAGAATGAAGCCTTGCTGAGTTATGATCGTGAGAACACTGGGACGTTTAAATACACTTGACGCCCTTTTCATTAACTTTCTTCTTCAATTATTTTGCATGCTATTCTGCCCTGGAGGCCTAATCCACAGCAGTGTTTCTAATTGTTGGCAATCTAGCTATGAGTTTTCATCCTTTGGGGGGTGTATTTAATTTATTTCCTTGGCAATTGAACATCTAATTGTGCAACATTTTGGTTATCACCTTTGTCGACAATATTGACCCCGGCAACAGTAAAAAACATTTGATCATCGAAAACCACCTTCCTCTAACTGCATAGCGTTCTACACTCTTTGTATTTGTGGAGAGACACCTTTGGTACTTAAATATTTGTTACTATTGTCGCGTATGATTATTATCGACAAAGATCCTGAAAAGTAATTATTGCACAATTATATGAGTGCATTACCGAAGAAACTAAGGAAACACCTCCACCAGACGACGAACCCTTAGAATTTGATAGTCAAGAAGCCCTCAACCAGCCTTCAACTTTTAAATGTAGAAAGATCGATTAGAAACACTGGTGTGGATTGGGCCTCCACATAAGGGGAAACCACATGAAAAAAAAGCGCGCCTCGATGTGGAAACGAGAGTACAGAAAACCTATTTTTGCGAGTGTAAAATATAATTGAGGAAGGAAGTTATTGAAGTGGAGGCACCGGAGTCTAAAAGTAGCAATGTTCTCGCGACCAAAACTCAGCAAGGTTTCGTTCTAGAGAAAATATGTATAGGGCTTTTCTTACAGGTTTTTTTTGTGTTTTACCATACCTGCAGCTGTTTATAAGATATACCTACTCAGAAAACCTGTTTTTGACGCAGATCTTGCCGGAGGGAAAAAATTAGGATTTCCATTTAGAACTGGAAGCAATTTCCAGATTTATCGGTAAAATTTTCGAATCTGATTCCATAAAGACTGACCTAGGTACATCTCGTAATCCTGAGCACATTCTGTGTTCCCTTTTTACAATTATTTAAGGTACTACTTGCAAAGAGTCGTATTGTTTACATATATAAGTTCAAAAGAATAGTTCGGATTATCAGCTAAAAAGTTTGCTGTTTTTCTTTTATTTTCTCGTTTTGTCCAATCGTCAAATTAGGGAAGTAAAAAATAAANAATGGATTTTATGACAAAATTCATATAAGAAACATCTTCTACATAGTATCTCTAGAATGAAGCCTTGCTGAGTTATGATCGTGAGAACACTGGGACGTTTAAATACACTTGACGCCCTTTTCATTAACTTTCTTCTTCAATTATTTTGCATGCTATTCTGCCCTGGAGGCCTAATCCACAGCAGTGTTTCTAATTGTTGGCAATCTAGCTATGAGTTTTCATCCTTTGGGGGGTGTATTTAATTTATTTCCTTGGCAATTGAACATCTAATTGTGCAACATTTTGGTTATCACCTTTGTCGACAATATTGACCCCGGCAACAGTAAAAAACATTTGATCATCGAAAACCACCTTCCTCTAACTGCATAGCGTTCTACACTCTTTGTATTTGTGGAGAGACACCTTTGGTACTTAAATATTTGTTACTATTGTCGCGTATGATTATTATCGACAAAGATCCTGAAAAGTAATTATTGCACAATTATATGAGTGCATTACCGAAGAAACTAAGGAAACACCTCCACCAGACGACGAACCCTTAGAATTTGATAGTCAAGAAGCCCTCAACCAGCCTTCAACTTTTAAATGTAGAAAGATCGATTAGAAACACTGGTGTGGATTGGGCCTCCACATAAGGGGAAACCACATGAAAAAAAAGCGCGCCTCGATGTGGAAACGAGAGTACAGAAAACCTATTTTTGCGAGTGTAAAATATAATTGAGGAAGGAAGTTATTGAAGTGGAGGCACCGGAGTCTAAAAGTAGCAATGTTCTCGCGACCAAAACTCAGCAAGGTTTCGTTCTAGAGAAAATATGTATAGGGCTTTTCTTACAGGTTTTTTTTGTGTTTTACCATACCTGCAGCTGTTTATAAGATATACCTACTCAGAAAACCTGTTTTTGACGCAGATCTTGCCGGAGGGAAAAAATTAGGATTTCCATTTAGAACTGGAAGCAATTTCCAGATTTGTCGGTAAAATTTTCGAATCTGATTCCATAAAGGCTAATCTACATACGTAAATACATCTCGTAATCCTGCATGCATTCTGTGTTTCCTTTTTACAATTATTTAAGGAACTATTTGTAAACACTCGTACTGCTTACATATATAAGTTCAAAAGACTTCGGAATAGTTCGGATTATCAGCTAAAAAGTTTGCGGTTTTTCTTTTATTTTCTCGTTTTGTCCAATTGTCGAATTAGGTAAGTAAAAAATAAACAAGGGCAATAAAATATCATTTGACTTTATTTCTCACTTTTTGTACAAGCACTCGTAATATTCAATCATGCGACATACATAGTATATACAAGAGAGTCTATTATACAAAAAAAAAAGTGTAGATAATCCATTGGTTGTTACTGCTTACGAGGCATTTACCCGCTGCACGCACCTGCTGCAAGGTTAAATTTACACTATAAAATGATAGAAAAGTTTACCTTAAATAACAGACTTTCAGATGAGAGCAGAAGGACAGAGAGCAAGAACAAGAGAAAGAAATAGCGAGAAAGTAAACAGAAATTAAAATAATTGAAAAAAGAAGAAGAGTAAGATAGATGAATTTATAATTTTAACACAGCGTAGGCTTATTACTGCTATCGCAGTGAGTTACTCTATATTTTATCTGTACAACAGTTTGTCAGCTGGTGTCTAGCTTGTTTTTAAATTTTTAGTGGCAGTAGGGGTAGTTGGGGCAGGCGTGTGCGTCAACACCTGCGGGAAGTTGAGCGGGAAGTCCAGGCACTGGAACGTGGTGGGCAGCTTGGGGAATTGGGTGTCCTGGGGCAGGATCATTGAAGTCTGAAAGAAATACAAATTTAAATAAAATATCTCGATCTTTTATTGTTTTCATTATCATTTTTACTTACTGTGGCTGATGTCACCGAAAGCACCAGCTTCGGCAAGTCCTTCTCCGTGCCAGTCACCATCGCCGGTATAAGCACCACTGTCGAGGGCGTTTTGATTACCATTCCACGATGGTTGTGCGTTCCATTGTTGGGGAGCTGCGTTCCATTGGTTTTGAGGGGCAGCGTTCCAGTGATTCTGGGGAGCTGGGTTCCATTGGTTTTGGGGAGCTGCGTTCCATTGTGGTTGGGCGTTCCATGCGTGGGCTGGTTGCTGATTAACGGCTACGGCGGGGTTGTTGCAGTGGGGGAAGTTGGGGCATGCGGATGGGTCGACTCCAGCTGGGTAACGATGAGCAGGTTCACCGCCAGCCAATGGGCCATTGTACGCCGCGAGGGCGACAGACGAAATACAAGCCAATACTACCTACATTGGAAGAAAATATTTGAATAAAAAAATAAACAATAAGTATATGAAAGAGGAAAAAGATGTGATTTCTAGGATATGTTGGTATTTTGCACTTCTTATGTTGTTTTATAGTCCACAATTGAACACTATTGGATCCAAAAGCACTGTCTTCACACTTCACTAAACTCGCTGGTTGCACTTTATTTTTTGAATCACGTAAAAATTGTTATCCAAAGTTTGCCGCACAATAGTAAAGGGATCAAGTGGGTGTAAATGTAAAATTGCATACAATGTAACTTACCAGTTTTACAAACATGTTGTTTCTTTAGTTCGAACAAATAAACAGTGACAATCAGAATAAAATTACCGCTTTTATACCCGTTCCACGCCTTGTACACCCATTTGACAGAAATGTAACAGTAGAAAATTTTTACCACCTATCCCACACTACAAAATTATCGCTGTTGAGGGGATAGAGTAACCTCTACTGTATTTTTAATAGGTCGCCTTTGGGCGTGTACGTACAAGACTTAATTCCTTAAGAATTTTTACTTTCTGTCGCATTGTATCCAAGGTTATACACTTCATTGCCATGGCAAATATTTAATCGACTTTAAAAATGGTTTAGATCGTATATGAAGAAAAAAAAAACTTGAAATAACTAGCTTAAGGTGAGGCTTTTCCTTATTCCATCGGACAGTGATACTTCGACCTTATGACTATCACCACGTGAATTTTAAATCGTGCTTGTATTAGAAACGCGTGGATTTGGTCAGTTATGCATGTAGTTCTTTCACTGCAGTTCCACACCGATTTTATTAGCCAGTCGGTGCGTGGTTACCCAATAAATTTCATTACTACCGCTGCGATGTTCAATTTCTCTCTTTTTTTTAATTGTAAATGTAAACAAAAGCCAAGCCTTCGTTTTTTCGTCGATTAATAATCAAAAAGTTAACAATAGTGTTTTAAAAAATTATTTTCTAACAGTGATAAAAACCGAGAGATTCTTTAATAAATAGAAATTTATGTTATGCTTCGCTTAAACACTCAAGTTTTTTTTATTTAGAGAGGAAAACATGAAAGCATTACATGACTTACGGATAAATTAATTTTGAAGCCCTCTTTATGGTCAAATAAATTACATGTATAGTGGAATTCTTTAATAAATCGAAATTTATGTTATGCTTCGCTTAAACACTCAAGTTTTTTTTATTTAGAGAGGAAAACATCAAAGCATTACATGACTTACGGATAAATTAATTTTGAAGCCCTCTTTATGGTCAAATAAATTACATGTATAGTGAAATTCTTTAATAAATCGAAATTTATGTTATGCTTCGCTTAAACACTCAAATTTTTTTTATTTAGAGAGGAAAACATGAAAGCATTACATGACTTACGGATAAATTAATTTTGAAGCCCTCTTTATGGTCAAATAAATTACATGTATAGTGGAATTCTTTAATAAATCGAAATTTATGTTATGCTTCGCTTAAACACTCAAGTTTTTTATTTAATTATTAATGCAAATATCTATTTTTTTGTGGTAAATTAAAAAAAATAGTTAATGAAGTACTTTTACTCTAATTTTAATTTCTATTTATTTAAATATTTCATTGAATTTATTTAATTCCCATAAAAAACAATCATACTTTCTGTCTTGTACTCTAAAAAGTATTAGACCCTGAAGTATTGGATAGCAAAATGTTTATTTAATACATCTAATTTTTATTTTTTAAATCATTATTAATGACAAAGGTAAAATTAATGTGTGGAATAAGGACTGATGTCTGTGTTTATGTTATTTATTTGAAAATTAGTATGGAACTCAAATCTTTAATGTTACATTTAATAATCTACACGTACCTATACAAAAACAGATAAACCTGTAATCAATTTTCAATTTTTTGAGTATCTAAAACGCATTACTGCAAGAAATATTTTAATCCAAATGTTAATCTAAATAATCTGAGATTGTGTAAAGTCCATATTAACTCAGCACTTTTTAAGTAATTACTTATTCCAAATGCAGTTCTAAAGACGAAAACATCAAAAAAATACATGATTTAACAGCCAATTTGATAGGTCCGTGCATAGTACAATAATAAAATTTGACCCCCGATAATTTCGTGCAAATCATATCGTTGCCTGCTGACTGAGGATACTATAACATTGTAGGACTATTTTTTTAATCGTACTTTTTGGTTTATTACACTAGTAAAACAAAACATTCTTTTTATGCTGAACGAACAAAATGCTACTCTGAAAACTTCTTTACACTAACCAAACAGCATAAGAAACCTCAAAGGCTTTAAACTGCATTTACAAGACTTATATTACTTTATTATTTGTATTAAAAGATGGCTAAAGGTGTTTATATTTTTAAAAAGATGAATACATGTAGCAGAATATCCCTATCATATTAAAATCTTAAAAGTACTTTTTCTTGCCTCTCCTTTCTAACCCGTTCTACAATACCTTCAATTAATTAATGACCTACTTACAAATGGTACCAAATAACTGAGAATCAACGTAATTTTTAATATAAAACTATATGATGTACTTATTCCGAGTCATTTATTAATGGAAACACAAAAACAGGTTAAGTAAATGAGTTACGGAATTACAATATCATGTACTACTTTTTACTAAATTTAGTATCTGATCGTAAGAGACTTGCACTGGCGCCTACTTGGATACGTTGCACAATGAATTGGTTTTGTCGTAATTTAATGAATGGTTGCCAGTGTCTTGATGTTTTGAAGCATTTAAAATTAACATTTTTACTTATCGTTAATAAATTTACGTTGAATCGTAGCATTGAAATCAGTACCTGTTTACATTAATGAAATAGTTGCAGTTTTCTCATTTATAAAACGCCTACGTTCCACTTAAATATATGATAAACATATATAGATTAATTTCTTTATTTACTAATAATACGATATTAAATTAAAGTAAAACAAAAATTACAGATGCGTCACAATAATATCAATTAGCTATTGCTACTTCATTATTTATTATTTGTAATAACATTTCACCTTTTAAAGGTACTCAAAGGTTCCCAGAGTGTAGACATTTGTTTTCAATCTCAGTTAGATCTGTAATAATTTAAAATTTCTGATGAAAGTGTAACCGAAGAGTCAGTTTTAGGTTCCTTCTCATTTGAAAATTATTTTTCCATAAAGATTGCGTAACCTGAAGAATGTGTTGCAGTATTGTTCAAAAGAAATGTAATATAAATACCTTTCACTTATGAATTAAGAGATTTTTAATGATGTTATAACGATGATGATCGTATTTACGTAAGGTTACACTCATTTTTCAATGTTATATCAATTAACTTTAAGATAATTCTACAATGTCAACGTAGATAAGTAGGTACTTCTTTCCAAAATATTTTAATTTGTCATCGACACATCAATATAGTATTTGTTTTATTGTCCTCTCTACCTGTTTTCGTTTTACAATTATATTAAATTGTAAATAACCTTAGAAGATAAATTCATTTATCGTTGAATGATAACAAAGTTTTTGTTAATTAATAGTTAAAACCTATTCATCAAGAAGTTTAACGGAATTAAAATTTAAATAATCTTGTCTTTAAAAAAGAACATTCAACACGAAAGCTTATGAAGACTCATATTTCACCAGTTTTAGTACGTAATACCTAAGTTATAACGGTAAACTGATCATTTGAAAAATTAACTTTTCAACTTTATTTAATTTTAAGCACATTTTCGCTTTACATATCTTTTATATGTAATAAAGAAAAATAAGTTGTCAAAGTTAAATAACAACCACACCCATTTTTATTCCAAATCGATCGGAAAACGCACCAATTTTTAATTAACAATTCAAAAATATGAAATACTACTTAATTACGTCATTGCATATTTAAATTGATGTTATTCGAACTTGCTCGAACGTTTCTACTCAAAATCAAACTCAAAGTAGTTAGGTACGCAATAAAATAATCTTATTAAAATTGTTCACGAATATTAGTAAGGCTTTTTAGTTTTTAATAATGTAAAAGTTCATTTTCAATTTTTTACCCATTATAAACTACCTAAGGTTAATGAGAGAAAATTTGTTGCTGTTGTCACACCCTCGCCGGGAATCGAATGGCACCTTTAACTTTACACACCAATACTCTGACCACTAAGCATTCGGGTTCGGTTCCCGGCGACAGCAACAAACTTTTCCTCATTAATCTGAGGAAGCTTATAGTGGGTAAAAAATTTAAAAAGTGTTTCATATATATATATANTTTACTGTTCGTATTCAAAGCACGACCGGACTATTTTAAAGTAAAATAAAATTACATAATAAGAATATATTTTTAAAAAAAAGCCTTTATTTAACAATAAAATATAAAAATACACTAAAAGGAAAAAATAAGTATAAAAAAAGCTTGGGCGCTCATTTGACATTCGGCAATCAATTCAGTGTGTCTCTCCCGTTTGGCTGTATCATAAGCCTTTTTCAATTTTTGAGGTTCCGTAATTCAAAAAACAAAATATGAAACACTTATAAGATCTAGCAGGACCGTATAGCCAGCTAGATACGAATACAGATAGTCCCTTATCAATTACACATCAAAGACAGCTTCATTTGATATTATTATTTAATGAGGTACGATTAAAAACTAGGAAACTGTCCAAAGATTACGATTTAGGTGAGAGGAATGCCATTGTGTTTACGATTTTGTTAATTTTGTACACACATTGTCAGGGATACAAAAAAGGACATAGGGTACTTTTTATCCAGGAAAAAACACAGTTCCCGAGAAACAGAAAAATTAGTTTTATGTGGCGGGAAAGAAAAGGTTATAAGCGTTCGAAATGTGGTGTTACCGGCGAATGATGAGGATACCGTGGAGAGAGAAGGTTAGAAATGAAGAAATATTAGAAAGAATAGGAGTACAGAACTCTATGGAAATCAATAGAATCAAAGGAATACGCGAGATAGGTTGGTATAACTTCTCAGGTCTGAAGGTCTAGTCAGAGACATATTAGCGGCAAAAAAGGGAGTTACGAGGGGTTAATGTAGACCTAGATTAGATTACTCTTCGCTAATTGTTAAGGATGTGGGTTGTTCTCGTTTTAGGGAAATACGAAGATTAGCTCAGGATAGAAAAGAGTGGAGGTGTGTGTCCAACCAGTCTAAGGACTGACGACCTTATGATGATGATAAATAGACATTCTAGAAAAATACCTTTGTTTAAAAGTAATTTAAACTTTCAGAAACGGCTGACTTTTACGTGACAGATTGTCCAGTACAAGAATACACTTATCCATTTTGCAACAGCGTGGGTTTCAATGAAGAAATGCGTGGTCTCGCATTTATTTGACTTTTTTTGTTAAAGTAATTTATGTCCACTCTTTCCCGTAATTGCAAAATTAAATCA